TGTGCTAAAAAAGCACTACAAGATGGAGAAGATTTCATTGTTTTGAAGATTAGTTTTAACCTTACATTACTTTAAAACTTTTTAGAGGGGATGATAGTGGTTAAGTCTGGTATTTCAGAATTTTATTGATTTTGCGAAACAGAATTTTTTAACGCTAAGATCTGTAGGTGTAACTGCAAAACTCTCAAAATTAAGGTGTAATTAGTTGAATTTGAGTGCTTTCATCGCGCTGCTGCTTTGGACCATAGTAGGAGTTTTAATTGTGTATTTTAAACACAGGTCAACATTTAATGTTTAGTAGTTAGAAGCTTAGTCATTGCTTGTCTCAGTAAGTTATCAAAAATACTTTGGGATTACAGTTACGCGGTAACAGAGGTTTGGGAATTGATGAAATCTGTAAGGTATTTCGAGGCAAATGTATTAAGCATTGTTTTCTGCTTTTGACTACTTTGTTCAGAATTGTTTTGATGTTACTGGATTTTACGGAGTAATAACAAGTGAAAATTTGGGAACACCAATAAGTGCACTTGGAGTTTAGTATTATATGTCGCGAATGTTTGTTTATGGGAAAAGGCCGCATAAAGTAGTAAAAGGGTCAAAAGAATTTTTTTGTTAGAAGTTGATGGTGATTTTATGAGATCAAAGGCTAACGAATGCGTAAAGAAAATTGGTGTAAGACGTTGTTGTTTCAGGGTTGCTGAAGAGTGTATTACCGTAAAAACATTACATAGCTGTTATGTGGGTTTTCTGTTTGGAGCTGTTGCTATTTAGGAAGTTAAATCTTTTCAAAACTTGGGGAACTTCTTGAAGCCTTTTTTTAAGCACTCGTTTATGTTGTAAAGTAAATGATACCTATTTGATTTCAACCTGATGAACTTGACAGTTATTGAAGAAACTTGAAGACAATTCTGAAAAAGACAGCGTAGCTCTATTTAGATGCAATTGTTTTAGAAGTGTACTAGTTTCTCCTGTAAGAGCAAGGATTTTAAGGGTTTTACCATGTAGTCAGGTAATAGTTGGCCCTCCCTCTTTCCCTCCTGCCCTCAGCACTGTAATCGTGAGATTCAAGTAGGGTGGTTGGTACACATGCCACTTTTTTATGGTAGAGTTATGAGCGTCGGGTTTTGCGCATTCTTGTATTTTTAAGTGTTAGGCAGAGGTATATGATTGTCGGTTTTGTCTGTGTGGGCTTCGTGAGCATCGAAAATGGTCTTTTGAGGAACACTGTTACGTTAAGGAATGGTTTCGTCAGTAGCTACAGTTACTTTTAGCTCATTAAAAATTTACTGGTCGTGGAAGGTGGGGAACAGTTTTGCTTGAAAAGCTGCTGGTTAAGCCTTTTCCTGTTTCTGTTGCCCTCAAGGCGACATTAAATTTAGTTTTTTCCATTTGACACTATGAAGTTTATTAGTGACATTGTTCATATCTGTTCTTCCTCTTATTTACCGTCTACTGTTTAAAGTCACTGGTGTTGCTTAGTTGTTTTTATTTTTTCAAATTTTAAGAAGAAAAAAATTTTTTTTCAAGAAATTTGCAAGCTGTCTTTACTGCATGGTGACAAAAAAACAGATTTTTTAAGGCTTTTCTGTTGTTATTTTTTGATACTTTACTGATCTCTTTATTGAGAAAGTTCGCATGCCTTTCTGGATGGTACATCAGAAAAGGAGTGTTAAGTCAAGTAACCTGTAGTTGCCCTCGCCCGCGAAGACATCTTTGACAAAGCGTTTTTTGCTGCCATTAATATTTCCGCACTTTGTTTCTAGTTAGTAATGTGGGCTTTCTTTTCTTTTACTGTTCGTGTGCGGTCCATTATGCCTTCGTGTATTTGCGTCGGTCAGGGAGGATTTTGTGTTGGCTTTTACCTCTTTGCGTTTTTGTTGAAACGTTTCTTAGGGTAGAAATAAGTTTTGAAGTACATTTTTTTTTCAGATTTGTACAGTGTATTATACTGCATTGCGCTTGTATCTAGTGTTGGTGTTTTTGTAAAAAAATTATTATTTTTTTATTGATTTATTGTACAAGTTATGGCAATGGCGGAACATCCTTGGTCAAGTCAGTATCCAGCAACGTGGAACAATGTTTCAGGTATTTCACAAATTTTAATTTTTAGTTATTACCTCTGTACTTCATTTTAGTTTTTTGAAGTCATTTCAGTTTCTTCTTCCTCATTAGATTTGTTTCTCTGAGTTTGTTTTATTAAGCTACGAGAACAGAAGTTTTTCAGAGCATGCAGTTAGCAATCCTATCATGGTTCAAGGTGGTGGCGCAATGGGAGTAGCTAACTCGGTGCTGTCGCCACGAGATAATTCTTTTTGTAATCAGATGGTGGCAAATGTACTGCAGTCTTCTTCACCTGGAAGTCTCAGCGCGCAAGATGCTCGTTTTGTAAGAATTAAGATTGGCGTATTCTTAAATTTCTTGAGATAAGTGGTAGTGTTGCGAACAAATGTAACAGGTGGAAGAATGGAAATTGTTACTATAATAGTCATTTCGTAGAACCTTAGTTGTTGCTTCTGGAACAGCCATGAGTCAGTATTGTTTTTATTTACACCTTGGGTTTGCCTTTTGCTTAACAGATTTGTTGCAGAAAGTTGAAGAGGGGAAGCTTTTGGATAAAAGCGATGATAATTCTACGAAATCTGTCAATGATTCGAAGGACTCTACTGGATGTGCTTCTTTTATGCCGATTACTTACCAACAGGCAACTGATGTAATACCTTTAGGCACAACTCCTGACTTTCAGGTGGTTCTTCATCTTCCAATTTTGGAAGGAAATTACCACCATTTAATTTTCAAAATTCTGCAGCAACTAAAATTATTGCTTAGTCTCCAAGTTCTCTTTTCGATTCTCTTCCTAGCTACGGCCTTGATTTGTTAGGAATGCAATTATAGTTTCCATACGTGCTGCAAGGTCAACCGAATTCTATGATTTATCCCAATGCAGCTCAAAGTGCTGCTTATGGAACCACGCCTACTGGCTATGGTTATGGGTCGTGGACAGCTGTATATAACAACACAGGAGCTCCTCCTTTGCAACTTAGTTCAGATCCCGTGCTTACTCCAAATGGGAACTTGACAAATGGTATAAAACGGTTTTTTTTTTCTGTTTTTCATTCTGACTTATTTTTGCTTTACTGACACGTCTTTACTGAAGCATGTTTTAGGTACAATTCTATGTAAGATAATTCCTAATTTCCTTTTATTATTAATATGAATTAATAATATGTATCCATATCTAGTCGTCAGTACAGTTTTGGTCTTATTCAGGTGCCCGTGCTACTCCTCCAGTGTCTGCAGTATACTCGTCTTCACCATCTGGTGGTTTTCATTTTCCTATTGGTTATCCGGCTCAAACTTCAATTTCTCATATCACTGCCGATATGTCCAACCTTAGCATCGCACCTCCACAGCAAGGTCGACGAGATTCGTTTGGCACGAATGGACATCAGATTAGTCAGATTAGTACACCAACATATAGTGTGCAAAGTATGCAAGCTCCACCTCATCCGTACCTTTTCATGAATTTCCCGCAAACACCTCCTACCGGCTCACTCGGATCTAGCCCAAATTTCTTTGGTAACTTTATTTAATTGTCTGTCTTAGTGCTAATCTTTTTCTTTTGTTGAGTCTATCAGCTTAACAGATGCTGTATTGTTGTTTTGATTAATAATTATTGCCTCACAGCTTTATCAGTAAGTGTTTCTGGAAAGTTACAACGTTAAGGCAAAGGTTGATTTCAGTCTTCTTTCTTACGCACTCGTGCTATATATTTTGTCTCTTGAGCATATTTACTGTAAGCTGATGCCGTTAATCTCTTTCAAAATTTTTTAAGGAAATGGTTTCCCGACAGGTTTTAATACCTCTTCTTTGTTTGCTGGTTCATCATCTGCTGCCCATATGATTCAGCAGGCACCGACGAATCGTAATATTTATTCTGCACAGACAAATCAAATTGCACCTATGCCCTGCAACGTTAACATGCAGTCAAACCGCAGAATAATTGGTCCAACATCATCCAGAGGTATTGCTGTTTTTCTTTTTTTTTTTAACTTCATGATTTTACAGTTTTTTTTAATTTTTTAATTTGAAAGTCGTGGGTGGCTTCAGTTTTTAAAATTACCCTGTCTACTAATCATTCATAACACAGTTTATCGGTAGTTGATTGGCAGGAGCTTGGTTAAGACTTCCCGCCGTTACGCTTGTTTCTAGCACACTCTGATGCAAACCAAGGTTAGTATTGTACTCGCCATCCTCTTATTTTTCAGGTGGTGATAATGACAGACAGAGTCGATCACATCTGTTAGACGACTTCCGGAACAATCGTAATCCTCATCTTCAACTCGCCGATCTGGGTGATCACGTTGTTGAGTTTGCACAAGATCAACATGGATCGAGGTTGTTTAATAGAAATTTTATTTTTCAATTTCTGCCACTGCTTTACATTTTTAATGGGCACCCGTTTACACTTATAGGGTAAGATTGCCGTCAGGATTTTATTATTAGTCCCTTGACAGTAGTCATTGGATATTACAGATTCATTCAACAAAAATTGGAGAGGGCTTCGATGAAAGAAAAGCAAGCAGTATTTGAAGAAGTTATTGCTCATGCCCAGTCGTTGATGGTGGATGTATTTGGGAATTATGTCATACAGAAATTTTTTGAATTTGGTACCACTGAGCAGAAAAATCAGCTAACTGACGCAATTAAGGCATGTATTTGTTTTCTTTTTAATATTTTTGTCTTCAGGAAAACTATGTTTCTTCGTTATTATTTAATTTCTTTTGCAGGGGAAGGTTATGTCACTTGCTCTGCAGATGTATGGTTGTCGTGTAATACAAAAGGCATTGGAAAGCATTGAATCAGATCAGCAAATGGAAATCTTGAAAGAAATGGAGGGACAGGTTGGTTTTTAACTTTATTTTTGCATTCTATGGTCTTGTAGTATTTACGGGAAAAAATATTTTTGTTGCCTCTGGGAAATAGTATTTCTCTTGGTTATTTATTTAAGGTGCTGAAATGTGTAAAGGATCAAAATGGTAATCACGTTGTCCAGAAAGTGATTGAACGTGTCGACCCCTCCAAGCTGCAGTTTATTATTGATGCATTTGTTCAACCTGGTGATAACAATACGGTGGGAGCTGTTCATACTTTTTATTTCTGGTTTTTAGCGCTGATACTTCTAGCAGTTCGTTCAAGACTAGTATCCTTGAAAAATTTTGTTGGAATATTTTTTTGGGTTAAGAAGAGTAAGTAGTGGGATATAGCCAGTCTTTAAGTTGGAGGTCAGAATCTTTTTCAACATATGCAGTTGTCCGGAACTTTCCAGCCAAATCATAAGGTGCCTTGTGGTTCAACTTTTGACTTCTAGTTTACTCCTTTCTCGTTACAGGTTAGTTCTCTTTCGACCCATCCATATGGCTGTCGTGTAATACAGCGTGTGCTGGAGCATTGTACTGAGGAACAGAAAAGACCTGTGCTGGATCAGTTGCATATGCATATTAAAGATCTTGTCATCGACCAGTACGGGAATTATGTCATTCAACACGTAATCGAGCACGGTTCGATGGAAGACAGAGATCGTATTGTACAGCAGATAAAGGTGCTTTCTAGAATAAATTTCAGCTTTGTTTTTACTTTTTTTCTATCGTGCTTAAAACTCTTTGTGCATTTTTTTGGAATACGTTTTTCTAAGCAAGATTTCTCGGCGAAACTTGGAGGGGTTTGTTGGAATTCATGAGGTGAAGTAATCTTTTGTATAAAAAGGCAGAGAATGAAGAACACAAAAAAAATTACAATTTTTTTACTTTCGCTCAAAAGTAGTAGTGGACCTGATGTAGAAGAGGGTCTTTTCTGAGTCGCTTCTTCTTCTCCTTTTCCTTCAACAGTTTGGAAAATTTGTGCAGGGAGATGTGCTTCGTTTTGCGCAACATAAATTTGCATCAAATGTGATTGAAAAGTGTCTCACTTGCGGAGCCGTTCCTCACAAGAATGCTCTGATTACGGAAGTCTGCGGGAATCCGAACGAGTAAGTTATTACCAGATTTTTATTTTGGCATACTTAGGCCGCCCTCTTTGTTTATTGTATGTTTTTTTAACTCGCTCTTGTAGGTTTTCATTTTTAATTATTGCAGTACTGGTGGGTATTTAACATTTTTTGACAAAAATTCAATGTGTTGTGGTATTGTCGTGAACCATTTGTTGGGGCGGCATTTTCATTTGTTTTTCATGTTCCTCTTTGTGATCATTCAAGTTACAAAAATTTAGTAAAGGACTTAATATTGTTCTATCGGATTGTTGTTTATAGATATTCCTTCTTTTGTTTTTTTCTTTTCAGTGCTGCAAATACGCCACTTTTGCAAATGATGAAGGATCAGTACGCAAACTATGTTGTGCAGAAGATGCTTGATGTTGCGGATAGTGCCCATCGTAAGAAGATGATGCTTGCGATTAAACCTCATATTCCAGCTTTGCGAAAATACAACTATGGAAAGCATATCATAAGTGAGTTTTTTCCACTTGCTTCTATTAGTGATCTTTTCTAGAAGTTGCTATATTTCCTGTAGTACTGCTCTAATCTTGGTTTTATTTTTTGTTGATTTTTCCAGTGCTTAATTTGAACTGTAATGCGGTTTTGTTTTCGCGACTTGGAAGCGTTTTTTATATATTTTTTAATTTCGTTATAGATTATTCAGCACTAACTTAATGTTAAATGTTTCGACTGTGAGATTAAAAAATTATAGTTTTTGAATAAGCTACAATTGCAGTTTTTTTCAGCAAAGTTGGAGAAGTATTTCCAGAAGCAAAATGGTGGTTTGCCGTTGGCCCAGCCAGAGTACCCTGTTGTTCTGCCACACTCAACACCGTTGATATGAGTAGGATATATTTTTTTGATTATTTACTGCTTGCTTTCTGAAATTTGAAATTGTAATTCCATGCTCGGTTTGCGTACATTCATTATCAGTTTTATGATCTTTCTTGACGTTGCGGCTCTTGTATATGTTGTTAAATTCTAACAGGTTCGTTCACTGTTTTCAGAATTGTTATTTTTTGTGCATATGTATTTAGAAGCTTCTTACTATATTCCCCCACCCATTTGTGTATTAAGAGTCTTTAGCAGTGCCGCTGTTGTTTCGCCTAATATTACTTTTTTTTTTCAAACTTGTGGTGTTTAGTTGTGAAATAGCAAATTGCGCATCGAAATTGGTAGATATTCTGTTTGTTCCATTGATTCTTTCATGCAAATCTCTGTTGCGAGTGGCCGTTTTGTCTTTACCTCTGCTGATGTTACTTGGATTTCAATAGGTGAGCGTGTGCTCGTGACATTTATGCGAGGGCCGGGCATGCTTCTCAAGGTTTTCATTCTTGTAATGGATTCTTGACTCAAGAGAATAGAGTTCTTTATTCTTATTTTCCTGATTGAACGGATAGCTAACTATATGATAGATTTTTTTTATGTTTAGAAACTGCTTTTAGATTGCATAAACCGGTCGTATTTTTTGTTTAGGCCGCTTTCAATCGCTTTTGATTTTTGGGCGCCTTAATATTTCTTCGTATTTGAATTCATGCGCTTTTTGATGTTGTGTTTGCGTGTGCTTCGTTGAAGATTTTGTTCAACTTACCACTTTGTATATTGTCTTTTCAATATTTAGAGGTATACATTTTATTTCTGGCTGAGTATGTATTTTTTATTGGGAAATTTTTATGAGCATTGTCATTTCGCTTTTCCAGTATGTTTTATAATTTAGTCGGCCGTAGGTCGTTGTTCGCCGGAGTAACTCCTTTTGTTGAAAAATGCATATTTTGTTGTTTCGATAAAAATCCAACAGTGTTGTGGCTGATGCAATATACTTCTCATAGGCTCTCTGAACTGTTTCATCTGAAGGCAAGCGCTACCCCTTCTTATTGGATTTTTATTTGTCTCCTTATAGTCGTTAGTTTTCCAAATTAGCTACTTGGCCTTTTTTTTTGAATTTGTCAAATGGGGTTCTTGTGTTTAGCATTGTTGCGAGCTTACGTACATTGTGTAGTTATGTGAACTAATGGCACATGGGGATTTCTTTGGCTTAACGGCAGTTGCTGGCGGTTAGTGAAATTGACACATTGACTGTTGTTTATATGGTTTACGTGCTGGAGGGATTTGCGGCTTTTATTGTAAAAGGCTTTTGGTAAGGGGTGGATCTGGTTATATTGGATTACTGTGCTTATCCATTTAAAGCCTCTTATCAGTATTGCTGATTGTACTTTACGTTGTTTTCTTCATTTTGTTTATTTTTCATTAGGTTTTTGGCTCGGAAGCTTTGCTGGAATTGAAGTGGACTTTGTAGAAATTCATGCTACTCTCTTGTTTGTTACTTCGTTTTTAAGTAAGGACGCTGAGGTTTTCATTAGTTTTGACTGAGTGTCAAGTGGTATTTCTCGTTTAATTGTCATGAGAATGGGAAATTGATGTACTGAACTGTACGGGCAAATTCGCCAGATGGATCGAGTAAAAAGTATTTTATATCCTTTTTTAATGCACTTGGGTGGAAATTGCAGTTCTGCCGGTAAATACAGGAGCAGCATCTTTTTGGTAGTGGCATGTTGCTGCATAGTACGTACTCATTTCCGGAAGGAAGTGCTGGATAGATCTTGGGTAGATTGTTGCAGAGGGCCTGTGAGTGTCCAAGAATACTTTCTGGTCGGTTGATAGCTGTAAGTCACTGGCTACTGATTGCTTAGAACTGAGGAGTTGTTCAAAAGTGACGGGGTGAAGTGTAATTTTGGCACCTGTGGTTTGAAGGCGAGGGTAGGCTTAGATGCATGCGTTTTTTCATTTCAATGGCTCAAGAGGTTTGTTGTAAGACGGGTTTTGGAGTGCACCTTTTTTGGTTTTGGGACAGTTGAGGCATTACCTGTTTGTATCGCTGTTGAATTCGCAAGAAGGCCCAATCTGAGAATCTAATGCTGCGTATTCAGCAGTCTATTAGAGACTGACTTGTTTCATCGTACATGATAAAGAGTGTACACTACAAACATTTTTATGACGGTCCAGTTGAGGGGAAGGTAGCGGTTCTTTCGAGTTTTTGACGGAAATATTGATGTACGTCTGGTTCTGGAACTAGCCAGACTGAGTT